TAAGATTAGTGGTGCAGCTCAAGGGTGCGGCAAATGACTGGTACACGATGAAGCTGAAGTAAGGATTCCTGTGGCTTCGTGCTTTCAATAAAAGTTTAGCTCTTAGAGTTATAGTCGTTAACAGCTTTACAATAACTCGGAAGTGCTCCATGATGTCTATTGGCGTCAAGTAAGTGATGCATATTTCAACCTATGAGGATAAGCACTATTTATGTTGATGCAATTTTCTTGGGATATGGACTAAGGTGATGGGCCGCTAGCAACACAACCAGTAACTGCTGAGACCGCAACACCTGTACATGCACTGAGGGTTACGCAGAAAACATCGACTGATAGCCATTGGGCCCGCAATACAAGATACACCCTTACTTTTGTCATATTACACATTAGCCGTGAAAAATATGCTAAAACGAAAAAACCTAGAGGTAGTATCGGCAATGTCGCAGAGGTTATCGGAAGATATGTAATTAGTTTTTGATAGCAGCAGCTAAAAAGTGATTATCGCATATAACCACCAAACTGGTGGGTCCTGTTGAGGAGTATCAAGAGAGCAATCATCAAACCTTTCCGATCACCTCTATAGTGTAGGATATTCTTCGCCACTTGTGATTGCTTCAGTCCCTATAGATGGGTTTCTATTCGAAGGGGTTAAGTTGAGAAGAACAGCTAATAAATTTGTCCACTTTTATATCAACGCAGTTACTTTTATTCTAATTTAGTCATCACTGATGTCACATCGTGTTTTTCCTAATACAATAGTCATTTTACGGCTCTAAAATCTCCTCGTTCAAAATGCACGACCTCTGGGAGCCGCAGTTTTGCGTAAGCGTGATTGTAGCGGCTGATGTAGGCTGAAATGTTTCTGCGCAAGATAGTTTGTATCACGAGTCTGGATCCAACTAACATGACTCGTTTCTTTAGGTTCATTATGCTAGTTTTGTTATCCGATCAGTAACCGTCAGTCCAGGCGCGTTATGCTATTGTGGGTTATTGGACGCAGCGTGATGTTTGGTAATCCAGTGACTTTTCACAACACTCTGTCTACCCATACATCCAAGAAGTATTATGCATCATATTTCGAGAAATCAGCTGTCTATTAGTTGACAGATGTGTTTAAACAGAATTTCTTTTAATTTCTTTTATAAAGCGCAGCAAAAGCTGATGACATTACTGCAATTTTGAGTTACATGCATCAAGTTTGAATGACTTTCCCTAAAGAGGTATGACTACTGCTGGTTTGCTGAACTTTTCTCTTGTACGAGTGAAGGTACTATTTCTATTGGCCATAACACTCGATGACTATACATACAAAGTCGCAACATTTTGTATTCAGAAAAACCGTTTAGCCTAATGAAGCGAAGTACCCGGTTCTTGGTTTATTTTATGGAATTTTTGCTAACAGAATTAAAACAGACCACGCACGCCTGAAGTCCAAACAATTTTAACAGTCAAACATAGCACATGGAGGAAAATGCTTGTTCGTACAATTTTTGCTGAATTAATTGGATTCCTTGTCGCTTGTTGCGTAGATGTACGTAAAAATAGTGTAGGAAAGAAGAACCTAAGAGTGTGATATGGCAGCACACATGATTGGCAGCGCACATCTTTTCAACTTAGAGGTATCCTAGTCTTACCATTAGAAACCGGTTAACACGATTCCAGAGGCGTACACTAAAGTGCATCAGTTGTTTATTTTTTTGAATTCCACTCTCTCCAATGGTACCGAGAAACAAATTGCGTGGAATAAAAGCTGAACCTTGAACTCACCAGCAAGCTTACAAACTGTGTAGAAACAATCAGCAAGCACTTCATCTCAATTTTCATATAGCTTCCAAAAAGTGAATTTGATGCGTTTCTGTGACCTGGTTGGGATGTACCTTCCGGAGCACTAGAAACATATACGAATGACAAGCGCACGACAGTTTTCATTTTCTATATGGTGTTTTCCTAAACACGCAAAAACCGTATAAAGAAGGCCAAACCATTCAAAAAGCACTTAATACAGCAAACATTCATACATGAAACACCCCTTCAGCATCTTAGTAGAACTGCTTTGACAACCTCGACTACATACAACATGTCCTTCTTGCATTGGAGATGCGTCCTACTTGCCTTGACAGATCTCATACTGATTTCTCTCAAACTGACCTACGAATGATCAGTCTTTTTTTAAAATTTGTCTTATTGTTCCACCTGCACAATCAACAGCTTATCATTTGCTGTTAACGCTGCAGGAGAAACCGAGTTATGCCTTGGCACCTCTTGTTGTAGCAGGCATTCAACTCACCCTGATTAAGAGAACCGCGGAGGAATGAATGAAATACTCAGACTGTTGAACAGGGGCAAAGACCGCATACGGGAGTTTAAGATTTCTAAATGGTTATTACTCGTACTCTAGGCAACTTAAAAGTGTGACCATACTTGTTCCACTTTGCACCGTCTGGTCATGTCACCACCGTCCAAATAAAATTGGAAGGTCTTATGAAAATGACCTTGATTTCCTTCACCTCTCTCTAAAACTATAAATAACGGCCGACTGATTTATACCATGCTGCGCGCCGTTTCAGATGAAAGGTAGTGATATCGTGGTTGACAAAAGCAATGTGAGTGCATACATCCCGTAAAAATGGATGGTGGGTCAAAGTTGAGATGCTAGTAGCCCGTTGCCATAGTTAGTTATTTCTCAAAATGCAGTTTATCTGCTACCAGGCTGACAGAATTTTCGTCACTATATGTCGAGGCTTCCTTAGTGCGTAGTAGAGGATTACTCATCACAAATTTACTTTTGAACTTTTTGGGCCTTTGATTCCTTGGTCCCTGTTCTGTTGGTATGTGTTTGCTTTGAATATTTTGATGGTCCCTTCTATAGTTTTTATACAGTTTTAGGCCCGATGGCTCCCAATTAATTTCTGTCCCTACAGTATGATGAACTGAGAAGATATCAGTGGCACGTCTCCATAAACTCATGCTTTTTATTGTACTTACTTGAGAAGATATCATCAGTGCTCACCCCCACACAAATGCGCGCTGATGATGTCTCCACGTATGGTGACGAACCATATGTGAGCCAATTACCAAGCTCGGCGAACAGATCAACAACAATTGCAGCCCAGTGTCAAGTATGATGCAGAAGGAATGCTTGATTCTTATTTCAAAAACGCAAGAGTACAGATGAATCGTCGTCCTTAGAAAACAAGCAAGTCATAAACCCTAATGATCAGACTGACAGCTTGCTGGGTGATCATTATCAAATGCTGTTGCCTGACAGACATCACTTTACCAACCACGCTTGGATTTGGGAGGGTTTCCAACTGACAAAGGAGGCTGAAGGAATATTACTTCAACAAAGTTGCCAGCAAGCCATCATATTCGGGGTTCGAAAAAGCGTGAAGTAGCTTGCAACTTTGCGTTGCCGTCACAATGGTTTGAGAAGTTTCAGAATCTATCTTCAGGCAAAATGTCTGGTATCCACGACCTATCTCTGGATTTAGTGACATGTGAGTGTTTTCAGCAGTCAAGTGGACCGCACTGAGACCCACACAAAACCCCAATAGCTAAGTAGTTCATTGGGGGTTTATCAACAGATGCGTGGTGTTTTTTACAATAACAAAAATTCTAAACGGGTACAGACCTTAAACCGCGAGATTAGGCTGACCTCAACGTCACGGTTTAGGTAGTGCTAATCCCAAATGAGATCCTGTACAAGTAAGCAGCACTCCTACCTAACGTCCAAACCTAGTCAAGACAAAGTGGTCACAAGATGACAAGGCTCTATTGAACTAGGTGCGTAATACTTAGTTCAAACAGTGGTTCATATCCAGATGGGAAAAGAGAAGGGACATGGGCTACAAACAAAAACAACAAAGCGAAGAAGCCCTTCGTACATAATGAAAACAGAAGAAAAGATTCAACATTACACTCAATATACGACAATTTGAGGCCATGGAAGAAAGTTACAAACAGGAACTTGATTGCATCCCCGACTAAACCTCCATTTACTCCCAGTGGATTCACTGATCGTGGGTTAATACTATCAGGTGCCGTATGAAACTACCAAGACCCGAACTTGGACTGAAAGGCCACATTTCCACAATGCTTCATCGTTCTACATGGCTTATTGGAGTTCTCCTGATGTGCATATTTGAAGCGAAAAGATAGAACAGTTTTATCCCATTTAGCACAATTTATTTGGACCATAGAATCATTTCCACTAAACGTTTACCCAGGAAAACCAACTTACGGACTTCAAAGCGGCTTTTCTTATGTTCCATCTCCATAGTCAATCATATATTATTGGTCCACGGAACTTATGAAAGTTTCATTAGGGAGAAGATGACCTTTTTCCATTACCTAGGTCAGACGATACAAGGCTGATTCCAAGGACATTAATCCTGCTGTTGTGCACTCTCACCACCTCTGTCGGGATCGCACTGGCACCTTCATACCAAACAAATGGGTTAATTAGCCCTCGTTTTCAATAAACAGTGAAGGCCCAGCAGTCTCGATGGACGATCTCGTAGCTTTTCTCGCAGTCCATCTAGGGATGCCACAACTAGACTTCCCTCTGTATTCTGTCAAATTTCCAACTAATAGGCCTTCCCTCAAGAAAAAAACATTTATGTTTACCGGAAAAACGGCGTCGGTGCACACATTTTCGACCTAATTGCTTGCAACCGCAAAGATGAAATACTGTACTATAATTTATTATCTAGGTCGGCGTCGTGTCATTGAGTAGTTTTCCAGGCAGAATGTATTGCAGCACATTTGAGGCCCGATAATCCCGCGCGTTCGAAAAATCGCTGTCTTATTTAGAACAAGTCACCAGTACGCCAGTCCACAAACAGATTTTTCGCAGCTCTGAAAGACACAAACACCAGCGGGTGACCCATTGGCATATACATTTGATGCGCCCGTTACCCAGTGGGCATTTACAAGCACTTACGCACTTTGATGTCACCACGAACGTGTCCTGTTGATTAAAGCAAACCACTTGTACCCAAGTCTGTTGTTACTTGGTCGCGAGACAGCCAATCTTACCCAGCTTGGACTGTGGATACATGATGGCCCGTGTAGCCTGAGGAAAGTCTAGTAAGCTCAACCACTTTGTGTTGAGTGCAGAATTTGCAGTGGATGAGATCACTACAGGTTCTTATTATAGCCTGTATCCCCACAATAGTCGAAATGGTAACATTCAGGTAGTGTGAAGGAAGGAAGTTTTTATACTTAAACGTGTATAAATTGACGGGTGAGGTCAATATCACATTGCTGAGTGAAGTGCGAGTGTCCGTCATACTTGGGCTCCCGGATCATCTCTGTCCATTTACCCGTGGGTCTTCGTATATGAGGTTTCCAGCGGATTCGCAAACATTTATAGTACTGTTGTCCAAACAAGGCGTTAAGAGCAGACGACCAGATACAGTAGCGGATTCGGCTGCGCGCAACCGTTTGAATAGCTTCAACCATGTGCAAGTGCCCGATGCTCCAACCAGTGCTGAAAGATGAATACGCTTCAGGTACTAGCAAACCGCACATAAATCATTTAAGCCCGGTAATGAGACTGGTTAAGTGGTACTGTGACAGTGGGGGGTGAAGCTGACCTCAAGACACTCCTATAAAGTCAGTCGATCAGGTATTTCGATTTAATGTGTGCGCACAAAATTTACCAAAGCAAACTTGTCGGAAATTTTCACAGCTATTCAACTGGCTGGCAAATGAGAATGCCAAGCGAACCGCTTCCGCTGTGAATTCGGTCATCATTTTTCTGTTCTGTTGCCTTGGGTTGCAAACACTCCGACCTTTCTGCTGGGATTTCTCGTCACTACTGAAAATCGTATTATTCCATTTGCGGCTACGTTTGTGTTTCAGTTGGTGGTGGTAGCTTTCTTCATGTTCATACGTTCCAAACAAGGATGACCCCAGCTCACCTGGTGAAAGCTTCTTAAACTAGACTATAAACTATGAGACAAAAACATGCAGTTGTTTTCGTTTATGCAGTTAGAAAACCCTCTGATTGAACGCCTCTGTATGTTTTTTATCATACCTCTGGGCAGCTTTCTAATATACTTCGTGCTACAAATCATGAAAGACTCATCCGTGAGAATGAGTTGCTCATAGAATTTGCGACACAAGTTCGTCAACAGTTCATCACAAGTTTCCAAGCCTACCTGATTGTTGAGAGGGCTCTCTCGTTGGTAACTGTATTGAACTGAAGTCCAGCCTTATTACAGTTTCAACAGTTGAGGCAACAATATGGGTTATCTGTTCCTCAGGGAGAAATAAACCACCTCATACTAGCTGCTGGATATTATCTCAAGAGGTTCCTCCATATCATCTTCACCATTTTTAGTTATGGCTGCAACCGAATCCGCTGTTTTCCCGCACCCATAGGCACATAGATCTTGTTGTTTGTTTTGGCCAGGCTTGTGGCTTATTCTTAGGCTTTTCAAGCCTCCAAGTAGCTGTCACAGTTCTGGTGGGTCTCGTCAAAATGCACTTGTTTCAGTTCGTTTGCCTTGTTGTCTTCTCGTGTGTGCACGTGCAAGACAGTGTACGTATAAAAGTCGGTTGTTACCAGCCCACCTATTGATGTCCGAATCCTTCTGAGGCGCACAGTTCGTTTCAGGATTAGTGAACTGGTGATTTCACACAAAAAAGTGAAAAAGGTATGGAAAACAGTAAATTCTTTACCTATGAGGCTGATCACGGCTCTCAAAACCTGTAACAAGTAAAGAAAGAACACTGAATTGTTAGGTTATTTTTACTCAGACTGCATCCCTCTGTGGGTATTTTAAAGAGACCCTGGAAACTTTAGCTCATACGTTTCGTCTTAGGAGTATTCAAACCCTGATTATTAGTTCGGTAAATGTATCAAAGAACTGATGACAAATGCTGATGTATTAGTTAGCTTTTTGATTTCTTTTAGTAGGTGTGGGTTATGGTGCTCTTGGGGGTCGTGGTGGAGGTGGTGGCACTCGTCGTCGCCGTCGTCTTGATGGAATATTTTGTGGGCGTAAACGCCTTAGATTTTCATCACCTTCACATATGCATTACTAATGCATAATAATTTATGCAGGTATGTGGAATGGTGGGTATGTGGTGTACTACCACTCACTTCAACAACGGCAACTTCCCTGTCAACCTGTTCAAAGCCATGGAGAATAAAAAACAATACAACTTAGCAAACATTTATTATTATGATAGCAAAAGTAATTGTAAATTACGAGAAACTGGAAACTGTAGAGTTAGATCCTAGTTAGAATAGTTTTTTTCTTGAGCTCATGTCTCGGGAGTTAGATGTTTTGACCAATTGAGCTATGTGCCAGGACAAGTGAAGTTTGACCGCAAAGTACATACTGATCTGGTAGGATATTCAATCGGCAGTGCTCTGTATTGCAGTTGAATTTCCAATCCAGTCCAGTTTTGATCGTACCGTAATCTTCTCATGAGTAAAAAGGTTATTTTTAGGCGGTTAAATGCCGCTTCTGTCTTAAAGGTCATTCTTTAGAGAGAGCTGTGAGTTAGATGTTTTGACCAATTGAGCTATGTGCCAGGACAAGTGAAGTTTGACCGCAAAGTACATACTGATCTGGTAGGATATTCAATCGGCAGTGCTCTGTATTGCAGTTGAATTTCCAATCCAGTCCAGTTTTGATCGTACCGTAATCTTCTCATGAGTAAAAAGGTTATTTTTAGGCGGTTAAATGCCGCTTCTGTCTTAAAGGTCATTCATTAGAAGAGAGCTGTAATGGGAAAAAACTTGTGCCACCAGAACCGTCTTGTATGGAAGTGTTTATTTTTGGGAAGGGTTGTACGTGGTGAGAAGTAATTGACAAAAAATCATTGGATATAACGCCATTCTGGTTTCAAAATTTGGAATGTAATTTTAGCCCAAAAAACATTTTGTAAGTTATCACGCATAAGTTAAAACGCTCGAATATATTTTATCTTTTCGTTTCTTGACGGCCGTTTGAAGTAAAATACTAACATCAGCATCTCTTTTGGTGCAGGAGCTAATTACAACAGGTAGCAATCTGATGAAGTAGGTTTGGCCATTCTGACTCCAGCCACATCCACCTTCCATGATGAGGGAACCAGTTAGGACAAACAATTAGTTGGCAAACTTGGAACCCTAAACGTGGTTTGCAAACTTACAAAGAAATCAGGTTATTTCAATGGTTTAAACAAGACTGGTGTGAGAAACCCCGAGCAGTCGGTGAACTAGGAGATAAAAAAAATGCTACACCGCATGAGAAACGCACGAAAACAGTCGTCTGTGAATAAAATTCTTGGAATGTTTTCTTGAAGAAACACTGGTCCTCAGGCTAACAAAAGTCCTTCTACTGCCCACGGTTATTTTCAACCTTCTTGAAGCTCATTAGGTAGGAAAATTAGAAGATGATCTGGTATTCAGTTGAGCCCCTCATTGATTCCAAGTTAGTACCCAAATGCTAGTATTTGGTTACTTCCTTCTAATTGGAGTTTAAGTAGAACATAAGGTTAACGAAATCTCGTGGAATGCGCCAAACAGATGGGTCCGAAGTAGAGCAAAATATCCTGGTTTGCCGAAGTATTTTCTGAAAATCTTCAGCGAAATATATTTCGCTATTTCAAAGATCGTGCCAACTAAACATAGGGCTGATTTTTTGTAAATTCAGTTGGAGAACATTACGGACGAAAGATTCATCTCAGATTCAAATGAGTCTCCCTTAAAAAAGAAATTAGTCTGCAAAATCATTCACTTAGCATACTACTGGATTTTTATTCGTTGTTGAGTTAAAATGTGGATTTTTCATGGCTTTACTCTCCTACATATCGTCATATCCGCTTAAAGATGAATGACATTATACCCAGGGCGAAATTTATTTTCCCTTGTTTGCAATATCTATCGAATGATATTCAAACACAATCGATCTTTTACTTGGGATGAATTTTCGGAAAAATCATGTTGATATACATGCGGTTCACTTCTGTTTAATTCCCGAAGAGATAAAAAATGTCTCTGGGTTTTGGCCCACGAATAAATTGCTCTTGCAAAACAAGCGAAATAAATTTATTAACCCGTTGAATGTTATCTTAAATAAATGGCTACTTCGAAATTTCCTGCGACAGTAGTAGAAGTTCGCGACTTCTGTCTGAGAACGGATGGTCGCGATATTCTGAAACATGACTGACAATAACTGAACATCATAAAGTATTTCTTCTAAACTGTAAACCTAATGGAGTTGAGCTTGGTTTGAGCAATACGAAATATTTCACATTTTGCACCATTCAAAAACCAGACACCGACTTCATTTGTTCATTCTGAATTGTTCATACGTAACTTCCATGGATAGTCTAATTGGCTTATTATCTGCTGTTTTCAGACATTAGAATTCTAAATTAGCAGGTTGCCTGATACAGACTGAAAGAAAACTTCTGCGCTGGTGTGAAATATTCAGTTGACTGCTTACATACTTCCTTGGTAGTTCTTGTTATTAAATAATACCGAATGACTGTTTATCATGCCAACACACTAGGGGAAAACCGTGATGTGAAGAGTTGGATAAGACAAGCAGTATGTAAAAAGATGACTTTCACAAATACCAGACAAAAAAGAGCTGCCACATTTAGCTGGTATTATTACATCAAAACGTACTATTCACTCGGTTTACTGAGATCCAAAAGCGACACCATAAAAATGACATTTTATATTCTCTCAAGAATAATTATTTTATAAAAAATTAAATAAGGAATAGAGTTGTTCTTACGCAATTTTTCGGGTCCAACCAATGCCTTCGATACAATTTCGCCACTTGAGAACTCTTGTCACAGGGTCATCATTTGTCTTAATTCTATGGATCCTGTTATTTTGTTATTTAATTTGATTTGTCACCGACGTGGCTTGCACTGGACGTTGAGTTTAGTTCAATTTTTAGGTGTCTAAATTCTGTTGTGATCAGCCGCTTTGAGGGTTTCAATTTTTTAATTTTAAATTACCGATAAAGAATAATAGTTGGTATTAACATAGTTCGATGGCATCTCTAGTCAGCTACTCTCAACTTATTGGTGTATTATTCAGTCGTGTACGTCTAGCCTATATTACTGGTCTGAGCCTTCGAAGCGATTCACAAGACATGCCGCAGATTTTCAACAAAGATTAAGGGGATGTGCAGTTTTTCTTGGAGAATTTGCATGGGATGAGTGCTTTTGGAGCGAAATTTTAAATAAATACACCTTTTCTCTCAGTAAAATCTATCGTTTCGACATTGCTGTTGAGATAGCAAGAAGTATCGGGCTTTTCAAGAAATGCACTCATTTGCAAATCAGTGTATTTTTCGGAAACAGTCCAATGTGGGTTCAAGTAGATCATAAGGTTGACGAAAACTCAGGGACTGCACCTACCTGGTGAGCCCCAAGAAGGGCAAAACCGGTCGTTGGCTGTCGGAGTGTTTTCAGGAACCTTGTGATTAGTTTCCTTTATGAACAGTATCGGGCTTCTTCCTCATTATAACCAGGACAGGATCAGTACCAAGAGATATCCATCCGTACTCATTCGTACCTTCTCAACTAGCTTAGTGTTTAGTTTTCTTTCATGTCACAAAAACATTCAAATAAATTCTGCTGAAACTCAATAGATTATTACTTCATCCTGTGTAATCACAGAAGATAAGTCGAATTTTTAATTTCGGTGTAATTTCAGGAAATGTTAGAACGCCACCCAGAAATTTCAGTTTCGGTAGGAGTCGCCCGATTCACACTTACAACAACAGAAGGGAAAGAATTTATTTAGTAAAAAATATTTGAAAAAATGCTCAAAGGCCTGGTGAAGCGGCAAAGGCAAGGGTTAGTGAATTCCGCATGACGTCTTCCTAGGCCCAAAAAGGGTTAGTTTATTTGGAACAGTCATCGGCGCGGAAAATACACCACTCATTTGCAAATCAGTTTGGTTTTCACGCGAAACTCAAGTGAATCAGTCGTTCATAATATTATTCAACTGCGTGTGCTGAACGCAGGCCGCCTCATGTTTCATTTGTTACGATATTCGAGATATCGCACGCAGTCAAATTTGTGTTCAAGTAGAACATAAGGTTGACGGAAACTCGGGGACTGCACCTACCTGATGAGACCCAAGGAGAGCGAAACCGGTCATAAGCTGTCGAAGTGTTTTCAGCAACTTGCGATTAGTTTCCCATATGAAAATGTCACCAGCGCCGCTTGGTGCGGGATGCTATACCGCTAGGGAAGTTGGGACCAACCAAACAGATTGTCCATTATACGTCGTTTATAGGGGGCTTCGGTGCGAATGGAAAAACACTTGGCAGAATCAGAAATCCATGAAATTCGGCGAGGATGATATGTTCAAAAACACTTCACAGTGTACACAAAGTATTTCCCGAAAAACCGGCTGGTACCGAGGTGTCTTGAAATTTACTGAAATTTACTACACAACAAGACCCGGTAAAAACCAGCGGCCAAGTTTATAAAATCATAAGATGTTTTCTGCTCAGAAACCGCCTGGATGGAGGAATAGTTGAACGCTCCTCGACCATATTCAAGAATGGCAAGTGAAGTTTGTATTTGGCCTAGTTTGGTTTGTTTTAGATTGAATGCAGTAAACCTAGACCAAAACGTCGTCTTAAAAATGGTACCCTAAAAGATTGCTCGAGTTTTATAGGTGTTACTTCACTCGAATCATGATTGTTGGCTTTAAAAATGCTTACCACACAAGATGCACATCAAAGAAAACCAAATACCACCTCGAGCGGGCTTGTGAGCCTGTGACTGTATCGACAAACTATGTCAAATGACTCCACAACGTGACGCATATCGTCAACTAACAATTGCAGTTTTCCATAAATTTGCCTGAGCCTCTGACTCAATGAACCCCCCTCTTCTACCAAAATTAGCATTTAAAATTGTTGGGTAATCTTCACTCCCACTAGATTCATACTTTTAGTCGCTTTGAGGCTTCCCCTAAATGCCGCCAACATCCTCCTCTCTCCTCACTTTCTTTTAACTTTTTTAACTGTTCTCGAGAGATTTACTCTCCAAATGACCGTAAAGCTAGGCGTCCGAACCACATAGTGCCACTTAAATAAAAAAAATTCTGCGGTTGGAGTTCCAGCTGGAGATACAGAATGATCTTGTGCTCTTTGAACGGTTAACATGTGTTGGTGGCATCCTAAACGGCGGCCCAGCTGTTGCACGTAAACTTGGTGCAGACCTCATCAACATACCAACCATAGTCATATCGTCACAAACAAAGTACACCATGGCCGCAGGGTTACGCCTACATCGACGTTTGCGAGGACCGTCTTGCTTCAAGACTTCAGAACTCAACCTGTTTGATCAGGCGTTCTTTAATTTTTCCTTAATTGCTTGGTCTTTGGTTTTTCGTCGCATGGCCAAAATTTGATCGTAGTAACATGGACGCAGCAAAGTATTGCAAAACAGGGTATTAAATAAAAGGTAGTTTATAATGGAATATATTCATCCTGTGATTTCCAACCCCTTTTTTGAAGGTTTTCAGGCAAGGAAGCGGGATATAAAATGTTGGGATGGATGGGTGTGATTATTTTTGGAGGCGACTGAAAACCTATCTAACCGATCCCAATGATGATGGTAATCAATCTTAGTCGAGCTGCGTGAGTGATGCCGACCACCGTAATTAGCTGGGTTTGTTCTTTTCACGTTTGATGTGCTGACACGCTCTTGTTTAATATAACCACCTGATTGCATCATATTAAAACGACGCTTTCGTCTGTTTACTTCCGTAGTCATGAAAGGTTCAACTGTCTTGCACTTTCTATAGAGGAGAATGTCGGTAGCTCAGGTAGCGTAGATGGTCAGTGGGTTGTTCGCTGAGCTGGGCAATTTGGTTGCAAACGTTTCATCACCAATCGAGGTGACATCATCAGTGCATAGTTGTGCGTAGCGGTGGGTTAGTGGTTGTCTTGGACTTTTACGTTTTCCATAAAGGCATGAGGCTTGTGTGAAATGAGTTCTCACCTCTGCTTTTTCTCCTTGCTGAGACGGGTTTCATTCATAATTGTGTCGGAGTTATTGATGATGGTGACGGTGATGACCGATTCTGACGTTGAACTATGTTAGATTACTAGGAAATATTTGAGTGAGCAACAGTATTAGCACGCATGCGGAAAGTGATCTGCAGTCGTAATTACCGGGTCGTTTGGCGTTTCTGATACACCACAGTCAGCCTAAAAGAAGCAGCGCATGATCAACTCAGACGAGATTCCAAAGCATGCTTCCAGAACTCAGAGAGGTTTAGACTGATTAAAGTCAATGGCATGTGTAAGATAGCAGCATGTTAAACGAAACAATGACCAACATATTTCTTCCCCGGAATGACCGTTTCGCTTTCCAACATCCGTGCAAACGGCCCCCCGTAAAGGTTGATGAGTGATTCTGAACGCAACTTGAAGGCACAAACGAGAGAACTTCTGTACTTTTCATGATGCATAAGTATACACATGTATAGTACATATATGAGATTGGTTAACAGTTGTGCTATTCTAAGACGAAGAAAAACACAAAATGCCCTATAATAGATGGGACCCTGTGTACTTTTCACTTTTTGGTTCTAATAAGCTTAAACATACCAGCATGAGAAAATGACCACTTGCAAGCAGTGTAGGAAACACACTGGAACCAGTGCATCTACTCTGTGCTTTAATCTTTTCAGTATAAGGTCATCTGTAAGGTTCCTCCCAAAGGTCTTCCGAGGGAGGAAGAGCTAAGTGTTAACCCATTGTTATGCTACTCAGAGATCGTCACCACGGAGCCAGTAATTCATAGGGACATAAAATACATTCCCTTTCTACTGTTTTAATGCGTTTCTTCTGAATATAGAAACTACGCTGCCCAGTCAACAGAAGTGATCACATAGGGCTTAGTGTGACCAAATGTAGCAAGCTGGGATTAGTCCAAATTCGGCAAACGCATTTACGATAATATAGAAGCAAAACATAAAACAGTTTTTGTTACTTGTCTGCTTTGGAACAATACATATGGATCAGTCAAAAGAGTTTTTCTGTATTTCACAACACAAAGTGGAGAGGCGAAAAATTCTGGTAAAATTAAGATCTTCGTCGCATGCGTTGTGCGGATAAAAATTTTGCTTTTGCATAGGAATAAGAAGGAACATACTTCATACTCTATTATAGATGAAAATAATAAATAAAGGTAAGAACACTTAGCACAGTTAATAAAAAACCATTGTAGTCAGGCTAAGATTTATTACAAATCGCGTTTTCAATTGAGAGCACTTAAAGTTCCTTCCCATTTGTCCATATTTAACTCAGGTTTTGCAAGAAATCCCAACCAAACAACTTCTCACTCCACGGCCTGCGTAACAGTCCGTCTAGTTATATATTGGCTTATTAAGTAACCTATCATTGTCTAATATAATTGATTTTTATTTAGTTGTTCGTTTATTTACACACATCTTTCTACTCTGTTTCGCACAGTTTTGTACTATGAAGAAGGGAGGTTGAATACTAGATTAACTAATCATGCCAGTCTTTTAAAGCTTGCTCTAATCCACGACTATCTGGTGTTGAAACAATTGCTGCCGAAGAAGCAAGAATTTCTTTGAAAAGTGAAAGGCATATGAGAATTCCTTATTTGCGTTATAACCGAAAACATTCATGTTTGGAAGAATGAGACTGCTAGCGGATAACCATGCTATCATCGGAAGTGAAACATAGATGCATGTTGCGTGTGGAACACAACCAACTAATTATGCGGCAAAACTACTTAGGTTTAGCAGAGCTCTTCCAGTGACTGGTTAGTTTCTCCAATTCTTACGTTAAACCTATAAAATTGTATTACAGATATAGACAGGAATAAATCATGTTGTTACCCATCAGGTAACCCATATTCTGTTGAGGGCAAATATCAAAAACTATATTTACACAGTAATGCCATGACAGTCTCACGTGGTGAAACGATTGAAATTAGACGTTCCTCGGAGTCACTATCTGCCCTGGGGTTGAGCGTCACAAAGCTTCTGAGTAAAACGTCCTAGCTACGCGTTCACAAAACGTCGTGCTACGCATGAAATTCACTGACCGCTGTCCGCCTAAAAGTATACGATATTTCAGGTGGTGGATCACATAGTCCTCCTCAAGATGCTTCAGACTGTGTGGTTTGTACTTCATGGCTAAACATCTGAGTAAAACTGAGTGAATAATAGAAGACAACGTTTCAACACTACAACTATAGAATACCTAATAGTGTTCAACCTACGTGGCTTGAAATCGGATCCTCTTAAAATTTTCCCATGAACGGTAAGCGCTTTCTTTAATTCCTTAACCGACATGCCCACACAATTGTGAGATTAGTAAACACGACAGCCCTGAACAAAAAGAGCGCTGAAGAACAGATGCACCTATGCCGAAGGATGAAATCGTCGAGTACCCGTGTGCCAAAACTCTTAGCTAGTTATCAGCAGCTTGCTACACAGCACCCGTGTTACAAGTTTCTTCAGCTTTATTTGTTACACTCTCTCTACTGAAAAAGTAATCCAGATGGTTGTCAGTTAACAAACCTACCAAGTAGTCAAAGCCGCAAGACATGGAGTGGGTTCATCACCGTTTTTTTTTGAAATTTGTATGTGGAACCAGAATACACACAAGGTTCTGAAGCACAGGAGAATATAACATCATTCAATATGACTGTCTTCTAAGATCTTATGAGCAACTATATATATATATATATATATATATATA